TTCAAGCACAAAATCACACTTTTTCAAAAACTGTTTTACCTCGTGAAGGTAAATACTAGAAATATTGTAAAGCTTGCAGTTATGTTTTAACAATTCGTCATTTGCAATCGAAATAAATAAATACAGCGAAGATCTAATAAATAATTAAAATTGAACATGGAACCTACGCATGTACTATAAATATCAGAAAATATATAACATCTACGCTCTGGATTACACAGAACCGTCCTTCGGTCCTTCCATTAAGTCACGCCAAATCAATTCTTAGTATACAAGCCTTATAAAATATCGGAAAATAACGTTTTCATATATTCATATTCAACTTCTCTCATAGAATTTATGTAATTCGGATTCTTAAGACGATAGAAAAGATTCGTGAAGCCTTAATAGATTTTTAAACAACCGCAGTAGCCGTGGTAAGTTCAAGGCGAGTTTTAATCTGACTTCTCGCCTTCATCTCTCAACCACTACTGTATTTAAATTTAAACGTACGATATATCATTCAGATTTAAACGACGTGTATAAGAAAAATTGACTTCCTACTTGCTGACATTAAAAAGAAAGTTTCCCAGGTATCTCCGGGTTTTCTATCACTCCCCTAAAGTACTTCAGCTCCAAAAAGTCTCGGATATTGTTCGGACAGGGCACCTGTCTGCCGGCAAACTCTATGGTCGACATCGGGTGGAGAAACTGTTCCGGGAAGTCTTTGTTATTTAAAAACCAGGCGTCTCTGAGCATCGAGCCGTTCCTCGTATAAAATGGAAGTATGTTCACAGTCAAATGGTTAGTCTTGGAGTACTGCACTTTGAAAAATTCCCCATCGCTAGCTTTTTCCCAAACGAAACCTAGATTATCGACGGTCGGGTTGTTCATAGCCTTCATTATCCACGGTGACCTTTCGAGGTCGTCGCGGTTCACACCTATTTGTACTTGATGATCCCACGGGAGGATATCGCCGTTACGCATAGCACCCAGCAACGAGCTGGCCTCTAGCCAAAACCTAATACCGACCTCCTCTAATTTGTCGAAAACGTGATGAGCGACTTTCCTCAGCCCCGAGAGGCAGCATGGCGGCGTGTACCGATTTTCGTAGAGATACGATGGAACTCCGTTCACGACTGAACCGAAACAGCTACTAGTTTGTCTGGAACAGCCGTACCAGTCTACGGAATTGGAAGCTCTTGTCACCTTTTTAATCCCCAACGTTTCGAACATCGACCTTTCCCGGCGTTGATTCAACTGTTCCAACATCCACTGCGACTGCTGACTTTTGTACAACGGTTTCCCTTCGTTGAATCGGTAATTCGCTAATATATGAATCTGTCAAATGAAAAATGGAAGATAAAACTCATAAGTTCTTCATAAAAAATTGAATTATGGTTGATAAACTACGAACCTTTGCGCCTAAAGCGGTCGTCTGAATATACAAAGCGTTGGTAAATGGTAATAAGAAAGGGTCTGTCAATTTCCTTAACAATTTAGTCTCGAGTATGGTAGCATGCCTCCCATTCACTCCGTCACATACACTGCCCGTTGCTTCTGTCAGTTTCAGGCTCCATTCTTTCACTTTTAAATCTATATCGATGCACTTCAAAGTCTCGCTTCCTATTGGTATACTCACGACACCCAGTTTCTCAACGTGAGAAAGGATTTCCTAAAAATAATTCAGAACAAGCGTTCGAATAAAAAACGACAGGCATAAGAAGGGCTTAGAAGCTGAAGTCTATTGTCCTTAAGGGGCTAGACTGCAATAAGCAAGGTCATATGTGGCTCCATAAACTCATGCTTTCCACTATTCTTGCTTGGTCATCGATAAAACCACTGATAAATGTTAGGAAGGTGACGCAAACATCCTCAGTGGCTTAAACCCTTCTAGCAGACCTGACCTACTTCTAGGCTTCTGAACCCTTCGTCATAATCCATAATCATGCTTACTTGGATAACATGTCTGGTAGCGAGCCTGGTAGCATCAGGTAGAAACAAAACGTACTTGGTACGTATATAGAACAATGGATTTCTTTCATCAAAAGGTCTATTAAACTCTGGTTTCAAATTGATTAGTTTAACATTTCTGATAGTTTCATTAGTAAAATCCAATTCCAGCGGCGGGTACGGTGACTCGTTACTTACTATTAAAATTGGTATCGTAGGGAACACGTTCAACACCGAGTCGACAGTGGATGTTACGTCGTTCTCGAACACCTCGAACTGTCGTATGACCACCGTCATCAGCCGGGCTAGGCGCCGGTGATTAGACTTCTGCGACGGGTCAGGTGTTACAGTACTCGGTGTCAACAACTGCAATGTGTTCTGCGTCGCGTATAACCTCCATATTCTGTGCCAGACGATGATGTTCCCTAATAACGCGAGCACCAGCAACGTTCTTACGAATTTCAGGCGCATTATCGCTTCTCTTCCGGTAGCATCGTACGTCCACTGCTCTTTCACTTTAGTTCATGATTGTAGTCAATTGTTCAACGACGGGGCAATTGTGTATTCGTTTCCTACTACGATTCGACTCCATCTTTCTAGACCTGGAAATTGTAGACAGAAGCGTCTTCATTATTAGAACGAATCATGAACTCCTGTAGGAAGAAGTAGCATCGATGGAGGTCCGAGAGAGACGCAGTGGGTTCTATAGTAAGTGCATAGGGCAGGTCGTGGTCTCCCCCTCTACTAACAAACTTGCTATAGGACGTACTCAGTCAGTTGTATAGATATAGTACACTGGGTGAAATCTGAAACCACTCGTGTCGTGTCTCTCTCGGACTGGCCTCTGTCCCACGGTTCATCTCTGGTATTGGTCGTCAGGGTGGGGGTCAATGTTTCTGATTCGTTCTGCGCATTTCAAAACGAACTCCCAACTGTAATACTTGACCTGTTTGAAAAATTGTGAAAAACTCCTCAGTTTTCTTCGTATACGTTGTTAGAAGGAAGTAAAGAAGATTCGATTTGTCTTCTTCCTTCTCTTCATCTGTAAGACAATTTTTTTTATCATCTGTTGTCGTTTTTTTGTTCTGTTTCTATTATAGTTACGTTATCTCGATTGTTATACGCTGTGGACAGCCTCGGTACGACGCTAGAAGCAGACTGAGCACGACCGGTGCATCCCTGCAGCTGTCCTTACCTGTGGGACAGGTATATCCCATTCATTTCTCCCTACTCTAGCAGCACTCCCCACCTTTTGTACGTTGGTTTTATTGCGCAGATTAACAGCCCTCCTTCCAACGAACGTAGATAATTCATAATTCTTTGAATTCCAAAGTGTTCCGGGTTGGCGGTAAAAAATGTTGGAAAACTTTACTAGTTCCGGGGAAAGAACTCGACTTTTTTAAGACCGTTCATCCATTCTTTCAGTAATCCTCTTGAGATGTATGAAACTCTTCGAACTTATGGTTTCACTTGCACGTCTGGAATAAATCTACTGGAAAAGAATTATTTTATTGCCATCATAATTCGGTTGATGTATTCAAATGTTTCCATAAATTATTTAAAATCCTCCATGCAGGAATGCAGGAACACAATTATAGTAATTTAATTATTTATAATAAGCAATGAACTGCTAGGATCCAATCGACTGATGAAGAAGATCAAATCGTGTCAAGGTGGTCTCACGCAGAGCAACATAGTCACTTATGGCTAATCGTTCTTTCCCATATTCTTTTGGCACGATCGATCGATCGCAAAAAGGTTGCCTCGGTGAACTAATTGTAAGTAGCTTTAGGTGTTCACCTCGTCGTGATTTCAACGTCTGATATTTACCTTGACTCACAAACTGCTCTAAGTATCAGCTGTAAAACGTTATGCCATTACCAGACTGCTCGTAATATATTAGTTGGCTAATGTAACTAGATTAATTGCAGCTTGAAATCCAGTGCAAGAAACATTGCTAATGGGACACAATATTTCCTATGCAAGAGAATTAATATAATGTCAAAGAAATTGTCTCTCGTTCCACCCCAGAAAACCAAACGAACTTATAATGATTAAATATGGAATAATAATAATATATTTATTTGTATTGCAGGCTGATTAAATATATAATATATTTATATAAATTCATTTATATTTATTAAACAGAAAAATGGGTAAAAAATTTATATTATAAAATTGATNGGTTCTCAGGGGTAAGAGGCGGAGGGGTAAATAGGGGGGCCAACATCCTTTTTACGATCGTGTCCCGTTCTCTTGCATCCTTCCATAACTGAGTGTCCCTTTCCACGCAATCTTCCTACTGCGCTGAGACCGTACAATGCTAATGCGTTCGGAGATAAATCGAAATTGGACTTCTAAGTGAGGGAATAAATTCTTTGTAAAAACGTCATAAATCCTTACAACGTGATTCAACGTGTAACTGAAATATCGTCGGAATTTTTCACTCACCCCTTCAAGTGCGAACCTTTAAATAAAAATTATGAACGCAATTCTTTATGTAATAACTGTTTTTTTATGATGATGGTATGTTTGATGATTGCTATTGGCATAATCACTGATGCTATCAACGTTGCAGGTCCTCAAAATTCTTTTATATATAAAAAAAAAATTGTGAGGAATTATCAGAGTTATTGGATTGGCAATTAAATGATCGCTGATTTTAAACAAGAATTCTGCAATTATTTAATTGGCAACCGAACGCAATAAAAATAGTTAACTTTCCCTGAAGGAGAGAAACGGTCTGCGGGTATCAATGTCAAGGTTAACCGGTGCTCTTGATCTTCGGATAAAACGTGAGGTAACGTGTCTGTAGACAAAGAAGAACAGGATAATAAATTTTCCATGCACGAGCGGCGTCGTGAGGAATACGCAATAAAAGCGATAATTAAGACAAGTCCAGAATGCATAACGAAGCAACAGTACAATAGACCCGTAGATGTGATCGTCATGAGTCGATCGTTCAAATATTCTTGCCTTCGTTTCGGTGTTTTTCGAATCTGTTTAACTCTGCGTGAGTTTACTTTTACCTTGACTTCAGTTTTCCATTTCAAAAGTCTAGGGCGATGGGTAACGAGCTTGAAATACGATATACACATCACCATACGTACTTTAGGATTGTGTGTTCCTCATTGTTAGAAAGGTCTGATAAGTATTATAAGTTATTAAATTGTTTTAAAATATGCAATTGCTCAAATTGCTATTAAACATGCAAATCTTCTAAGTACCATGCAGTAAATTATGTAACAAATCACAATTAATTATTTATAATTAATGTATCCTCAATTTGAGTCTAAATAGAAATGTGGTTGTTTTGTTATCATCAGAATGTACATGATTGTTTTTTGTGGCAATATTGTACTATCCTAATCGATTCCTAAGCACCTCACAGGTGGCTAAAATAAATGTATCTCTGAACTATTTGATCTACCTATCTACAGAACATGATTGAACGAAAAATCTGAAGACTATTCGAATATCATTTAGAGTGATTGAATCGCAGGTGGTGGTACGTTTAAACGGTGTCTGGGGGGTATCGGTTTCATCCATTGGAGTCGGACAATAGACAATTAATATCGTAGAGAGGGTCATCACGAGCCCCGAAGGAACTGGAACCTTTTCAATCTCCCAGCAATTACCCGAGTGTCCCTGCGAGCCTTCTCGAAACTCGAATGTCACGAGTGAACGAAGAGATCCGGCTGGGGCTAGCTTATCTCTACGATCGATCGGCCGAACGTATCACCGGTGTTGAACAGATCGCGACACGATTTCCCCGATCATAAAAGGTTGACGACACTCCCCCCGGGCGTTCCTTGATCTTTACCCGTAAATCTCCGTCCGAATGACACGAGCCGTTCCTTGAATCGGCAATTAGCTTCAAGTAACGCAAGCTTTGCCGAGCAGAATTAAACGGTTTCCAGGTTCTTTCGCGGTATAAAAGATCCCAACAATTTATAGTAAATTTAAATAAATAACCTAATTA